CCCCCCAATATTGGACACAGCCCAGGTACGATGATGGTTGCAGGGAGCTTTCCTGCCTTCCAAATGCTTAGACCCCCCAATAATGGACACAGCTCATATACCATGGGCACCCTAATCCCATAGGCTCCCTGTGTTTCCTGTAGATCCGATCCCTGCCCCCATTCCATTGACACCCAGTGCAGGCTTCACACAGTGCTGCTGTCAGTCAGTGCAGGCACACCAGCCTGCCTCCTCCTAAGGGCCCCAGCCGGCACTATGCTCACTCCCAGGGCCCTCTGTAATACCTGAATTAGCCCCTTGTGTCCCCACATAGGCCACCGTCACCCCCTTTCACCTGTTTTCTCCCCTCACATCACTAGGCCCGAAGCCTCGCGGTGCATTATGTGGTTGTGCCGGGCCGCCGGTTACCTGGACGGGTTCTTGCAGCACCGTCATTCTCCGGCCTCCCTCGTCCGCTCCTTCTCCCGCTGTCGGGACCTCTCCGCCTGTCGGCTGCTCTCAAGACGTCAGACGGGCGGCTCCGGCTCATTTAAACTCACAGCGACCGTTACCGGGGAGGCCGCCGGAGATAGCCGAGTTTTGCCGGACGCGGCCGAAAAAGCTGTCGGAGAGAGGGGGGGGAAATTCGAACGCAGACGGAAAAGGACGAGCGCGGTCGGAGGTTGCCGAAGATATGTGCAGTGTCCGGAGAAAGCCGAGCGGCGACGGAAAGAACCGAAGTGCGCCGCGCTGGGTCCGGAAGTAATGTTCGGAAATGTCATGAGGGGCGTGCGCAGCTCCACCTAGCGGTCATACTTGTAATTGCTTAGAGTGCAACTAAAGCCCCTGGCAACGTTGATGGGGGGATTAGAATTCTGGGTTGTCACCAGAACAGGAATAGATGGGAAATCTGCTTGCATCAAGGCTGAGGGCTCTTGAGAAGTACTGAGGCAGAGTGCTTTGATTTTTAAGGAAACAATATCCAACAGTGGGACAAGCAGCATGCAATGTAAGTGGAGACACCGGCATTAGAAAGGGATACAAATCATTAGGGTTCAATATCACTTTAAGTGCTCGTTTTAGGGATGAAATAAAGAAGATATACTCACCTGGTCCTCGGTCCTGCGGCGGGCGGCACTGACCCCTCTCCCCCTCCTTGCTGTGTATAGAATGTCGTAGCGCATTTCCATTGAAATCTATATGGAATCCGCAATGGTCAGCGAGAAAAAAATAGCCCAAGGAGCATTTCAGGTGGCTCGGAGCACGTGGAGCTGCGCTATCGTATAAATGGTCCCCATAGGAATGTATGGGATTGTTCATGTTGGCGGTTCAGCGCGGACAAATCCGCGCCACCGGACTGCCCTGGTGTGAACGGGGCCTAATAGAGGATATTGAAATAAAGAGCTCTGGGAAATATATTATTCCTAACCCTTGCAGTGGGGTTACCCCCCGCAGTGGAATAATGTGGGGCATTCCATCGCTGGAGCAGAGGGTTAAGCGCTTGCTCTGTCTAGAGAGCTAAAGTTACACTCACCCGAACCTCAATCACATCTGGCTCTTATACCGCTTGCTCACATCCAATACACTGTATTGGACATGATGACTCACAGAACCTTACACCACTGGAGTGGAGGAGGAGCGAGGTTGCAGGGACCATCTAACAGCCTCTCCCTGGATTGAGGATCGGGTGAGTATATCTTTGTTATTTCAGACCCTAGACGAAAATGAGTACTTAAGCCTTGCAGTGTGGGGGTATTCGCACTGCAAGGGTTAAAGGAGAACTATGAGGGGAGTGCTTTTCACTCACCTCATAGTTCTAGCCGACCTGTGACAATGAGACTGTCACAGGTCTGCTCAGTAGATCGGGAGGTGAGCTAACACATACCGGCGTTCGCTCACCTCTCGATCCTGTCACGGCTCTCTGTCGTGACAGGGGATGGGATGGATTCCCCCCTCCCCGCTCCGATCCGCCAGCGCTGACTGGTGGAACGGACAGGGGAGGGGGCGGGTACAGCTGGCTCTGCCTCTAGATAGGCAGAGCCAGCTGTCACTCACGCAGTTGGGCGGATCTCGACATCGATGTAGGGATCCGCTCCGGCTGCGGCGTCTCTGTATACCGCGAGCTGTAGCTCGCGGTATACTGAGCTTAGGGTAACGGGAGGACGCTAGTTTGTGTCCTCCCGTTACCCTAAGGAGAACTATGGGGAAAAGCCCTGACCCCATAGTTCTCCTTTAATAATATACATATTTACATTTCCTGGCGTTCCTCTTTAAAAATCACATGAACAGTTCACGTCATAAACCTGCTAACGTGTTTCAGCCACAGCCTGTACTGAAATTAATGTCGTACTATTTTTTGGGGGATAGATAGAGCTTTCCTTTGGAGGTATTTAATCACCACTGGGGGTTTAATTTTTTACTATATAATGAAAAAAGAACCGAATATTTTGAAAAAAACCCCCTGTTTTCCCTACTTTATGTTATAAAACATTTATTATTACCCAATTTTGTGGTAAAATATAAAATACGGGTTCACATCGGGTAAATCGACACTAAACATGTACAGCTTTAAAATTGCGCTCGCCCCGAAATCACAAAAAGCTACAATGCCTAAAATTGACCATAGGCGATGCTTGAAAAGCTTTTACCACTCATCAGTTTAGTGTTATCAGTGATTGATGGGCCTAGAATGATTGCTCTCACTGCGACGTTCACTGCGATGTGTAACATGTGCGGTGTAATCATTGTTTTCGCACGTAGGCGCACCCGACGCGTATTTACGTTTATAAGTGCATGCACGCGGGGGACTTAAAACATTTTGGTGTGTTTTTTTTTAAATGAGACTTTCAAATTTTTTTAAACTTTTTTTATTTAAACTTTTTTTGGGTTTGTTTTTTACACTTTAACTTGATTGCTGTCACATTGGGGGCTAAAAAGCTGATTCTACCAGAAGCTAACACCTAAACATCAAAGAACAGCATCCATTGTAAGTGATTTCATCAGCATGGGATTTAGCTTAAGAACCTTTTGACTTTAATATCACTCTAACCCTCGTGATAGTCCAGATCCTAGTCCATGGATCCACAGGGTTTCTCTTTCCAATAGCTTTCGCACTCCTAACTGACAATGTCACCCTCACCACACCACAAAGAAAGACAACATATTACTAGGAGCACATAGCCGGCCCTGCAGCTGTTGTGGAACTACTATTCCCATGAGGCATTGCAAGACTGGCAGTCACAGACATGACTCCCCGAGGCAGATATATGATGGAATTTGTTGTTAAAGCACAGCTGGGGGGCTGGAGTTCACCACCCCTGACGTATAGGATGCGATAAGGATCTGAAAGAACAGCTGCCCCTTTCCTAATCTCTGTAGCATAAGGGGGAGCTGTTGTATAGTCCAGTAGAGAAGAACTGAGCAGGGTTGATTAGAAATGCGGTGCAGCAGGAAGTTAGGAGCTCACTGGATTTCTGGTAGGATCATCTGGTATCTATCTGTACTTACAGCAGTTTTGATGTGACAAAACACGGGCTAATTTGCTTGTTTTGCAGACATATACTGCATGTTGATTGTGTGTAGACTTTAATATTTAGAAATCCTCAGTATCCATCCAGCAAGTATGATTGTTGGTATCAAATCTTCCTTGTTTTTCCATCTTAGTATTGGGCAGAGGTGCAAAGAGCATATGAGGACAAGTCTAAACACAGGCATTGTTATCAATCTTGTTACCGAGAGCTCCATACACAGATGATCTGGTCCTTGTAAACCCTTTACTTGGATGTTTAATACTAATCCCTCATTGTCATTTCTGGATTACCATTACAAAACGCAGTATTCATGCTGCTGGAACAGATGTTTCTGCAATGAGGTTTATTCATGTTGTAATGGTTCTTGGCCACTAGGGGGCATCAAAGTACCAGTCCTCTTCACTTGCTCATATGCAGCTTGTGTGGAGATACTGAAGTTTGGCCCAGTGGGAGATTCCTTCATCCACACAGTTTAGCGTAGCTGGAGGAATCTGTTGCACTTTTTCCATCTGTCCATAGATAATCTGCAGAAATTCTATAGGTGTTGGGCCAGCTTTAGGCTGGTCCCTGACCTCTCAACTCTGCATTGCACTCATCTACCTGGCCTCTCTTCTCAGGTTGGACCCTGACCTCTCAACTCTGCACTGTACTAATCTACCTGGCTTCTTTTCTCAGGTTGGACCCTGACCTCTCAACTCTGCACTGCACTCATCTACCTGGCCTCTCTTCTCAGGCTGGACCCTGACCTCTCAACCCTGCACTGAAATAATCTACCTGTCTTCTTTTCTTAGGCTAGACTCTGACCTCTCAACTCTGCACTGCAATCATCTACCTGGCCTCTCTTCGTAGGCTGGACCCTGACCTCTTGATGATTCTGATGAAGGGGGCTTGCCCCTGAAACGCGTCAATCTTGGCTGACTGTGGACAGTGATGTGACCCGAGGCTACCGTGTTACATAGTCGGGGGATACCATGTTCGGTTAACAGACAGTGTGGCCTCTTGTTTGTTGTTAAAGCCTGATGAAAACGTTTGTTTGTGAGTACCTTTATCCCTTGTTTTATTTATTGTAATAAACGATTTTACACACGGAGGTGGCGCTCTGTTCCCTTTTGTTTTCTATGTTCGTGGTGGAAGCCCCAGAGCCTTGGATGAGCAGCCCCTCAAGTCTTTGTGAAAAACTGTGATAAACTGTTGAAAACTTTGAGTGTGCAACAGCAAGTGGATTGTTCAGCTGGCAGCCATTAGCGCCAAGAGCTAAAGAAAACTTTTTGGCTTCTCTTCTTAGCCTGGACCCTGACCTCTCAACTCAGCACTGCAGTCATCTACCTGGCTTCTCTTCTTAGCCTGGACCCTGACCTCTCAACTCAGCACTGCAATCATCAACCTGGCCTCTCTTCTCAGGCTGGACCATAACCTCTCAACTCTGCACTGCAGTCATCTACCTGGCCTCTCTTCTCAGGCTGGACCATAACCTCTCAACTCAGCACTGCAGTCATCTACCTGGCTTCTCTTCTTAGCCTGGACCCTGACCTCTCAACTCAGCACTGCAATCATCAACCTGGCCTCTCTTCTCAGGCTGGACCATAACCTCTCAACTCTGCACTGCACTCATCTACCTGGCCTCTCTTCTCAGGCTGGACCATGACCTCTGAAATCTGCACTGCAATAATCTACAGAGCCTTTCTTCTTAGGCTGGACCCTGACCTGTCAACTCTTCCCTGCACTGATCTACCTGGTCTCTCTTATTAGCCTGGACCCTGACCTCTCAACCCTGCACTGCATTCATCAACCTGTCATCTTATCCAAGATTCATCAGGGGAACATAAAATGTGTATTGGCCATTTATTCCTATAGCTGGGTTAATATTTCAGCTCACAAAGCTTTAACACCAAGATGAGAATCCTTTTTTTTTTTTTTTTGTTCAAATCAGTTTTTATTGAAAATACAACAGACTGTATAATAGAAAATGAAGCTTTTGTTACACAGAGTATTCATAATATTGTCCTACATTGAGAGTGCAATAA